ACGGCAAAATCTAAAAAGCTGGCTTCATAGGAGTAGAAAGCAGGACAGTGGTTACAAAAGGCTGAAAAACATAAAAGAGAGTGAATGAAGACAGGATGGATAACAGGGACCAAAATACAATTCCATGGGAAGGATTAGTTCGAGTGTTCCATAGCACCACACGGTAATCAGAGACTACACCATGTTAACATACATCTCAAAATAACCACAAGAGTTGTGCAAAAGTTCTCAATATATAGAAATGATAAACATCTGAGGGCATGGAAATGCTGGTTACCCTTATCATTACACACTGAATATATATATTGAATTATCAAATATGTATCAATTAAAAACTTTAAAAAGAAAAAATTAAATGCAAGAGAGAATAAGGAAAAATAAATGTAAGTAGTTTCAAAGACGATGGTGTTTTCTTATATTTTAAGTGAAAGTAAAAATTTAATTAACACTTTTTTTTAATAAAAGTTTTTACAGTAAGGAAAATAGGTTGATAACTTGGTTTTACTAGTAATAATTACAACAGCTCTGCCATAACACCAACAAGAGGTATACTTAGAATACAGTTAATCAAATGTCTGTCTGAACCAGCAGGGTCTGAAAAATCCCCGATTGACTGACTCCATGTCTGCATTTTAACAGTCTCCTACACTGAATTTAGAAATCACTTTCTTGCTACATTTACATGTGTGCTAAATCATAAATGTTCTACTAAATAAGAACACTCTATGCTTCTCAAGGTCCCACTCTATAAGGCAAGGTCCATTTTGACCTAGTAAATATTTCTGTCAGTAGCAAAAGTAGAAAAAACAAAGCGTTGTCTACGAATAAATGAATAACCAAAATGTCTAAGAAAAATATCTGTTCAGATGAATGAGCATTTCACCATCTTGTCTCACTCTGCTTCCACTGGTAAAAATAAGCTAGGCAGACACGTGTTCAGGCCCTAATCACACCATGCCTTCTTGAGTTAACGGTGTCACCCAAAGAGTGCAAGCTGCTTGGGAAAGAACCAGGCCCTTTCCTATTGGGAAAGAGCTGGCCTTTGGTGCGTTACCAGGGGCTTCTGCTCTGCGTCACACGCAGACAGCACTCTCAGAGCTTCTCACAGATGTTAGATTCTCCAAACGGGGACGGCACAAACCGCAGATTAAAGGAGACTCTCTTAGCAGGGAAGTCTGGGTAGGATCCTCCCCGGACAACAAGATGTCCCCAAAACAATACCCCCAAATCCCTCAGAATGAGAAACTAGACAGAAGACATCGCCGGTCCAGGTTTTGCTAACTTCCGGAGAGCAGCGTTCCAAATCCTGAAGTGACTCTTTTCCCTTCCTGAGGGACGGCTATGTTGCTGAAACTCCGGACACCCAGTGGCTGCCAAAAATTCAATGCAAGAATTCCAAATTCTTAACTATATTCTCCCTGACACTGGAGTTCAGACACCGTACAGGCCTGCAGGCAAGTGTGACCCACTTATTCACACAGGTTCTTTCCTAGACAAATTTGTTACTCAATTTCAGAAAATGCATTTACGTCACACAAACAGACAAAAACAAGTATTTCCCACCTTGCTGAGTATTATAAATCAGAGTAAATACAGTTTTGTCTTATCATCATGTTTTTGATGAGGAAACTTCTGTTCTTTTTTTAGATTTGGAGAACTGCTTTTCCTGACAGAATCCCCAGGCTGAGAACGCTGAACTGCAAACTTATCCTTTGGCCAAGTTGTTTACCAGCTTTATCAGGGCACATGTGGCTTGGCAATGTGATTCGGAGATAAAAACCCCAAAGATATAATTAGATTTTTTTCCCAGAAATATCACCCAGTGCCATTAACATTTCCTTGCTGTTTTTCACATGATCCTTGAAGTAAGTGATTCCACAATTTCTAGCTCTTTAATCAGTTTCTTTCAAGTAAATAAGGAAAACATGACTTAGCATGGAAGAAAGTGCATACTTTTTGATAAACTACTGAAAATACAGTACCTTATCTCAAAAGTCCCCACATGACATTCCAATAAATATATTTTTCTTTATCAGCAACATAATTCTTAAAGCTTTTCATAGGGTAAATTTGTTGAGAGTAATTTTATGAATTCAACTATAAACAATAGGTGGCAGGATATATCCAAAGCCATTATGCCATAAGCTTTCCCATATTACCTTATGAATGCATTTAGTTTAATTCTGAATTAAAGGCATAAAAAGACAAAGGTAGGAAATCACAAATGTGCATTTGATGTGCTGTAGAAAAACACCCTTTAGCCCAGTGAAGTATTAGGAAAGTATAGTACTGAGTTTTCCTTTGTTTTTACTAGACTCCAACACAGCTAGACTGATCAGTTTTGCAAAGAAAAAACAAAAAAAAAACTTCTACTTCCCTCTGGTGGTGTTTCCTAGTCAATGCAACTAAAAAATGCTAGAAGAAGACAAATTCCAGATTAAGAGAAACTTGTTGATTTGTTTTATGTTAACATTTTTTAACAGTACATGTTTGTAGCACATAATGTTTACATTACTTGTGTGTAGTTGGGACATGTACAAAACACATCTTAATTCCCTTTTCCATCTCCTTTCCCCCCTCCCCTCCCTGCCTTGACTTTTAAAGAATAATTTTCTGCATTTTTGTCTACCTTCCTCTAGCTATGGATACAAATATAGTAAGTTATGTATAATTAATTATAAGTATAGTATTTTACATTCTTCTAGAAGTAGAGCCAGGCTTCAGCATGTTTTCTGGACTACTTGATTCACTGATACATCAATCCACATGTTCCAACAGGAAGGCAAGGGTTAATGCATTCCCATTTTCTTCCTTTCTCATACAAGCCATCCAAGTCCTATGTCAGCCACAAGGTCTTGGTGGACTTGTCTGCGGAGTACTCGCAACTCAAGCACTCAAGGTTACACAGACCACGGACAAATCCATGTTTCTGTTGCCTTCACTATTGTGGATTTAAACACTGAGGGTGGCACTGTAATGCTGGTGAAGGGTCCCAAGCAAGAGACCCACAACCAGAACCACCGTGACTCCCTCTTCAAGGTGCTGTAACTGGGCCTAGAAACACGGATTTGACATTTAGAAAGGTGGGTGCAGCCAGCTGCATCTATCTTGGAGCTTCTGAGAATTTTTTGTGCTTATTTCACAATCACTGTGATACAATATATGATTTTTCAAGCCACATTGCTTCAGCTATTCTGACTAGTGATTTTCTCCAAAATCAGCATGAAGTATAGTGTGACTCAGAAAAGCAATGCCCCGAGATACAAGTTTGGGGTCTTTCTTTCACATCTCTAGACATGAGCAGGTTTGTCTCCCGGATGCAGCAGAGCTGTCTGTAACTCTCTGGGGCTATAATTAAGTTTCGAGCAAATCCTGCTGCCAAAAACATCACCAAAATGTGTGGTCAGTACTGCCAAGTTATCGCTAATTACAGAAGGCAAAGAAAGAGCTGGCACACAGGGGGTCCAGACAGCTAGGGCAGGGCACGGAGGAAAGAGAAACAGCCTCGTCTGATTGAAGGATGTGGCCTCCTGTAGTTCACGGGTGGTTAAAACACCACCTGGGAACTTCACCTGCAAGCCAGCCTGGACTGTTCTCGGAAACACAGCTACGACATGTGCAGGTCATTTTCACTCCTCGGACAAAGAAAGGCAACAGACTGGCAACGTCCCAGACAGTCTTCCATCTTGTATTCCCACTCCTCCACTAGCGTCATTACAAAACAGTACTGTTCTGAGTCCAATAAAGTGCACATTAGCACTATGAAAAACTGTGCAACTTGTAAGTGTACAGCACAATAAATTCACAGAAATTGGATGCCTGCCTGTACCAGGCCCAAACAAAACACAGAGCACTGTCCACGCCTGACAGGTTGCCCCCAGAATGGGACTTATTTTACCTGTAACCTTATAAAGTCCTTCAGTGAAAACATCCTGCAGTGTCCTGTGTGGATCTACGACTCCAGCCTTCCAGAAGTGACTCTGCTTTACTCTTTGTTGCCTCTACAAATGTCTACACCCTTTTTTTCTCATCAAAAACGCATGAGTGCTTAATCAGCTGTGTGGCAGCTCAAACACCCCTCCCCCGTGAGCCTTCTTGACCCCAGAGGAAGGGAGCCCTCACCTGTTCACTCCCAGGGTCGTCTGCAAACAGTCATAATCACAGCCGTTCATCTGACACGGCTTCTCCAGACCGCAGTGCAGGGCAGGAAAGGTACTTTTGATCACCTCCATGCCTAAAACTATGCTCTCGGCCACATTCTGTACACTGCATGCCAATGAGTAATTTGATGTTTTTCACATTATTTCTCCTCTAAGATTGAAAACTGAACAACTTTTCAAAAGAGAATGTTCTTCCAAACTATATCATATGCTATTACATGAAGCGATACATATCATCCAGATGTTTTAAAGTATAGATCATCTTTTTTTCTTTTCATTTTTTGAGATAGGCTGTCACTATGTAGTTCAGGCTGGCCTTGAACTCACTGCAACCCTCCTGCCTCAGCCTCCTTAGTACCGACACTAAGGTGTGTACCACCATACCTGGCTTGTTTTGTTTTCTTGGTGCTGAGGATTGAACCCAGAGCCTTGTACATGCTAAGCACATGCTACAGTGCTGAACTATCCACCCAGAGCCAGTGTATATCATTTTAGTGCTCTCCATATAAAGAATTTATAGCTTAGCATATTTCATTGAAACTGGTTATACAGCATACATTACATTAACACACATTAATAAAATAGATATTAACTGATAGTGGGATGCTTTGTGAGAAGACGCTATTTTCTCGCATCTGATGGTATTAAGTGTTTCTTCCCAGAAAGAAGTCAGGACACAGGCACAGTAGGCCTGACATTCTCGGTCCACACCCTGTTCTCCTTCCCCGGACTCCGCTGCAAATGCAGCAAGCAGAGGTCACGGGCCACAGACTCCTGCCGCAGGCTGGAGGAGGCGGAACATGAACGGCGGGAGCAGGCAGAACCGCGGCGCTCTCCTACCTGCGTCCCCAGGCCGGCTGCCATCATGTGCACCAGGAGCTTCGCCGCGCACGTCGAGCACCTGGCGCAGAAGACCTGCGACAGGACGGCCAGGCTGAGCCCTGCGGAAAGAAGAGGCCGAGGGTTTGTGACCCAGGGAGGAATGGCGGACGCGGGGTCACGTCCGTCCGGGACAGTCCGGCGCAGGGCCTGGCGCACCGGAAAGAGCAGCCTGCAGCCGCCTGACTGCAGGCCGCGCACCAGCTCGGAGCTCACCCAGGAGGCCAGGAGAACTGTGAATTTCAAATACTGCACCCGTGCTAAAAGTGAATCACCAAGAAAGCAAGTCAATAATTTTAATTTCCGTCTTCTGTGTATCTCAGTCAAGTTGAATTAAGAAAACGTTAAATTCCAATCTGATTTCCTAAAAATAGCTGGTTTGGCTCTAAAGGGGATATCTGGAAAGGTGAAGTGGGATTTTCAGGCACTAACTGTGACCAGAACGACCAAAACCCAGGTTAGGTAATCACCCTTTTCACCTACTTGAAATAGTTATGTAATTATAGCAGTGGTGATTATGAACTTAAAAATCAGCCTTACACTGCTGTATGCCAAAACCAGGAACAAAATGTGTCCTTTTCCTACGATTATTTCAATTTCTGCCAGACATGACAGCACACACCTATAATCCAGCACTCTGGAGGCCGAGGCAAAAGGATCACAAGTTCAAATCTGGCCGAGGCACCTTAGGGAAACCCTGACTCAAAAGTGAGACACATGAAAGGGCTGGGATGCAGCTAAGTGCGAACACCTCGGGTTCAGCACCGGTACTGCGAACAGAGAAGCACAATGATGTAAGGTGCTAAGAGGTGTGAGGAAAACGATCCCAGTCATCTCTGAGGCCACTTGAATTCACTGTCCACACTGCTGCAAGAGAATGGGCAGAACCTCAGCCCCAGTCCCGTCTTACGACTTGTGATTCCCATGCGTTTCATTCAAAGGCAGAAGACATACCTGTTGTGAGAATGTTTTCTGCCTCTTAAATTTAAACTTGCTGCTGATGGGAATCCATTTGCTTTCTTTCTACTTAAGCTTTCTGGGACGCCTGGTCCTCCGTGGGGCAACTGTGGCTAAAACGACTGCAGCACTGCAGCTCCCTGCAGGTGTCTAGCATCTGTGTGCACTTTGTGTGCACTGTCTCGTTTAAGCTTGTCAGTACCCTAGGCCAGTGGTGGCGAACCTACGGTACGCGTAGCACTGTGGGCTGCTTGTATCGCTGCTCGCTCTAAAAGGTTCGCCATCACTGCCCCGGATGTGATGGAAATGGGTGCTAACTCAGCATTTTGTCTGCGCACTTTCTCCTCTCTGAAGCTGTGGAACAAGACAGAATCTACAGCAGAGACAGACGAGACATCAGCAAAGCACTCCAGTCAGGCCCTATGAACCACTTTCCATTCAGAAATGCCTCTCGCAACTCCTCGCGGGCAGAGCGTTCAGGTACAGTGAGTAGACAAAGCTCCCACAGAAGGGAGGCTGCCATCAGCCAGGCTTTCAGAAACCTGACCAAGCATCACAGCACCGTGAGCTGGGAGGCTGCATCTCAGGGAGCGGGTGAGGACCTCAGGTCGCCACAGTGCCCGCCTGGTGCCACCCTCCTCAGGCACCGAAGATGCCGCCTCAGGCATGATCCGAAGATGCATTCAGATATACTCTGCTCCCCTCCCCAGGATGAGAAACCCAAACAAAACCCAAATCTCAACATATCATAAAGCAACTGTTAGAAGCTCATCTTGGTTTTTCTCCTCGTTCCCCTGAATGCTTCTTCCTGTTCTTCATCTTACGGATTCCCATGTCTCTGCACCTTTCCCCTCAGTACAGCACCTGTGGGTTACTGCTACTCATTGGCCAAGGGCAAGATAAGAAAGCAGTCGGCTCTGAAAAGATTTCTGGGAGGAAAAGTGAGAATGAAGCACTTGGAGGACACAATTCTGCATTCGGGGGAAGGGTGTCTTCCAGGGAGATCGGACCCCAGACCACCAGGATGTTGAACTTGTGGGGCACATCACAGCAGCCGCCAGTCACAGAGGCAATTTAAATTTAAATGTCCTTGAATTAAAATGAACTGGAATTTAAAATTCTAAGTTGGATTAACCATATTTCAAGGGGCCACAGACCACACATCGTCTCTCATCACGGCAAGGTCTATGAGAGAGCACCGTCAAATCATTCTAAGTGAAAGAGGAGGTCACGTTTCTCCAGAATTCTGATTAAAAATGACTACGGTAATATGGTGTAGGACGTGAACACATGAATCTGACACATAGCCAAATACATCAACACTGTACATTTGGTGATTTATTCATTTAACAAACGGCGATTAAAACAGCATCTGTCAGGGACGGTTCAGGGCCACGTTCAGCGGCTGGACACTACTCTCCCAAGTGTGCATTTCTAATTCTATCTTTCCTCTGGAAAGAGCCTGGATCGGGCTCTTTGGGGCAGTTCCCAGGGCTCTTACATCAGGGCCCTATAGTGCTTCCTCCCTGAACGCGGTGACATTGTCCCTGTGCTGCAGTGTTGCCAGAGACCCCTGGGGACGAGGCTGGGGGACACAGACTCTGGGAAAGCACAATAGAAAAAGGAGAGGCTTCGGGACGCCAGTAAGGGACAGAATGGATCAGCCTGGGACTAAACCTGACTACAGCGCCTGTGAGTTGTCTTTCTATTTGGGTCCAGATTCACTCTAGTAATCCACCTAGTAGGGAAGTCTGACATCTGATGCCAGTCAGAGTTCACAGGACGCCTTTCACTTGCTGTCATGCCCAGTCCTGTCCTCCGGCCTCTGCTGGAGCCTACCTCTTCCGTTCTTCCGGGGACTGGCTCTCCACTGAGTTAAAACAAAGCTGCCTGGATCAGCATCGATACCCCACAATCCGCACACAGTCGGCATAGCAACCTTACGGCAATTTCATGGAATATGAACTTGGTATTTCTGGAAGAACTGCACAGAAAGCTTTGGAAATTATCTCTTATTTTAAAAAGTAATTTGAAAGTTAATACATGGCATTTGGCAGTTTTACTTTCTTTCTTTGTGTGTGTGTGTGTGTGTGTGTGTGTGTGTGTGTGTTTGTTTTTGTCTTTTGAGACAGGGTCTCACTTTGTTGTTGAGACTGTCAGACTCTCAGCTTATAAGACAAAAAACACAACCTAATATTCTTGCATTTTTATGAACAATGAAAAAAGGAATGATGGTTGCTTCAAAGGACTTCCAATTGTGTTAATTTATTTAACCTGTAAGTCTTCTAGCACTTCATAAATAACCATTTACTGTAAAGCTGACATTGTGTCAGTAATTTATAAAAAGTAGATAAACCACCAGCCAATTAAAAGCGAACGCTTTAGTCTGACTAATGTGTTGAAAAGATTTCTCTGCCGTAAGAGAATGGAAAAGAATCAGAAACAGTGGAGGCCCGGCCAAGCTCTACTCCCAGTTTAAAACTACTCAGACCAAGGCAGCTCGCCGGCTGAGCATCTGTAAGATGCCTCGCTCAGAAAGGGCAGAACCAGAAAGGGATTAGGCCACCTCCAGGTTCTCTCCGGGACTACAGGACGGGAGGCTCGAGCCAGGCAAACGCAGGACAAGGCCCACTCAACGGCCTGTCGCTGAACAACACTGAGAGTTCGGGAAAGCATGGGAGGCGCCCTTGACACTGCTGTCAGGACGAACAGGTCCCTCGGCCCCTGTGGAGTCCTCCTCAGCATATGACATGGTCCTGGCACTGGCACCTGAAGAAGGTGCTGGAAGGCATCCCTCCTGCCACCGGGGAGGCGGCTTCACACTGCCGACTCCCGGGCGCACAGAGCACCGTCGTGCACTCTCTCGCTCGGAAGAGCGGCCTCAGTTCAGTTTTCTGGTGTTCAGTGAGCTGCTCACACCACAGCACGCACCTCTGTGGCCAGCACCCGAAGCCTTCCGGCCTCCGTGCATGCTTCATACACTTTGCTCACTCCTGCCGTTGTGCTGTAGCAAAGTATCCAGACCCGCGAACTACAACTGGTCCAGGCACACTGTGGGCCACTCGGACTAAAACGGAAAAAGCCTAAATTCATGTCTAATTGTATGCTGCTGTCATTCATAAAAAGAACTAATCAACTGCTATCAAACTCAGAAGGACATTCGGTATGGCCTGACCGAAATCACAGAATATGTCCGTAAGATACACAAATTTCGCTGCTTCGTCTCCAGGGGTCTCACCAGAGGGATGTGTTCACCTTCCCCCGAAGCTAAACAAAGGCACGAAGACAGGGCCTTAGGTCCTTGCCAGCAGAATAGAAATTTCATAGTCATATACCATGGACAGGGTGAAAAACCAGTAATTTCAAATGACAGAAATTGATTCCTGGTCAAAAGTAATAAATGCTGCCGGGGATTTGGCTCAGTGGTGCCGCTGCCTGTCTCAAGCACAAGGTCCTGAGTTCAATCCCTGGTACCAAAACAACAACAACGACAACAAAAAATCAGAAGCAATAAATGTAGGTCTGACATTTCGATGTTGGTTCTCACATTCATGAGCAAATCTATGCTACCTTTTCTAGAGTAAGTTCCAGGAGACAGATCTGTTAACAGTTCTCCCAGGAAACATTTCAAAGTCTTCCTACTTTACTAGAAAATCAGAAAAATGTTCTCTTTGTAGATTTTTAAACTTCATTTTATATTTTATTTTATAAAATTGAACCCAGGGCCTTTGAATTGAGCTAAATCCAAGTACTTTTTAAATTTTTAATTTTAATCCAAGGTCTTACTCCCAAGTTTCTTACTAGTGCTTTTTTTTTTTTTTGGTACCAGGGACTGAACTCCGGTCCTTGGCTTGCAAGGCAGCCCACCGAACCGCTGAGCTAAATCCCCGGCCACTAGTGCTATTTTATCAAGGGACCGACTGAACATTTACTAGTTAAGATACTTCTCAGCCAGGCACAGTGGCACCCTCCTATAACCTCAGCACTCTGGAAGGCTGAGGCAGTAGGGTCGCAAGTTCAAGCCCAGCCTGGGCAAATCAGTGACTTAGCAAGACCCTGTCTCAATATAAAAAATAGTAACGGCTGGGGATGTCACTCCATGTGAAGACCCTGGGTTCAATCCTCAGCACCACGGCAAATAAAGGGCAGGGGGGCAAAGGAAGTAGGGAGAGGGAAAGGCAGGTAAGAAAGCAGGGAGAGAGAGAGAAATCCTTTGCTTCATGCTCAATATTTGGAATGAGTAAGGAATTTGTGTGGGTCATAGTAGCACTTGAATTTATGACTATGGGAGCACATAAAATGACATCTAGACTTTCAACATTGTAACTTTTGATTTTGTTTCACTGCAACTTTTGGTTTTATTTCCTTCTATGAAATTTATTTGCTTTTAAAATTTATTAGCTGAAGTAAAATAAGATGTTGCTGTTTTTTGAAGCTACATGTACTAACGAAGAAATATCTATTAAATAAGAAATGTCATCCTTTATAAATGAAAGTATTAAGAATAAGAAATCATTAATATTTGCCGTTGAATCTAAATTAGTTTTAGATTTAAGATATATTAAATAAATTTTAAAACTATGTAAGATGAAATTATATTGGAAAGAGTTAAAAAACAAAAAAAAAGAACAGTAATTTATTTCTTAATTCTATTAGAAAATTTTTCTAATAGATAAAGACTACGTGGGGAGTTATTTTCATACTAAATAAGACAGACATGCACTCAGTGATTTATAAAAACATCACTGAACCAGATTATCGGAAATGTCTGAGTTAACATATCTACTACCCCAATATACAGACACAGTTTATAGCATACATGAGTAGTGCTGTGGCTTACATCTAGACGTCCCTCGAAGCCTCATGTGCTCATGGTGGGGCTTTGGGCAGTGACTGGATCAGGGTGTGTGACACTGCATTATCCACTGCTGGGTTTAGAGCTGGGTGTGATGCTGGGAGGGGAAGCCAGGTGGGAAGAGGTGGGCACTGTGGGTGTGGCCTGGAAGGTGTGAAAACTAAGTAGTTTGCTTTTAGTTCTACAACTAGCTAATGGCAGAACCAGGATTTGACCTCAAGCAGTCTGGCTCCAGGGTTTATAACTTCAACCACTACCCTGTATCCAGCTCTCTACATAACCTAAGTCATACATAACATAAATTAACATATACATAACTCTCTACATAACCTAAGCATAAGTTCCTGCCAGAAATAGGCCTAGAAGTGGAACATTAGATGATCTGTTCTTTAATATGATGCTTGGTTATTTGGAGCTCCTGAGGTATAGAATGCAAATCAACCCATGGGGCATAGTCTTTTAAAGGAAACTACAAAAGTCTCTGTATATATTATTTGAAACAATCCTGACACTCTAGCTATAGCACCTTCACTCTAACCCACAGCGCTGTAAACTATAGAGGCCTTTTATAGTTTAATTTCTATCTTGCAACACACTACATATTCTTTACAAGCTGGTACTATGTCTCGTTCTTTACTGAATCGTCAGTACAGAGTTGGCCCTCCATAAATATCTGTTGCATGAATTAACAAGACTACAGGAGAGTGATGAATTACAGCATGTTTGAGTCTTGCAGGGAAACAGACTTTCATTTTCTCAAAATTTCACATCATTACCTGGAAATACTGCCACTGACCTGAGATACATATGAATCCAGAAGAGAAGAAGGCTTCATTGTACGCAGACAGGCTGTGCGTTTGCGCATAGACGGCATACACGGACATGTGAGAGCAGGCGCAGTCCACATAGTCTGCCGCGTCCTCCACCACTCTGCACAGCGGGCTGTCAGACCACCAGCTAGGGCGAAACACAGCAGTCACTGCTCCCTCCCGCTGCATGGACACTAAAGATGAAGAGATGTTTCTTACAGGAAAAATCACTTGCTGAACATAAATGCTCCTCACTGAAGACCCAAGCAGACTGCGTTTTCAGGAAGACCGGAGAACATCCTGCCCAGGACACAGGCCGACCACACTGTAGGAAGCACCCTCAGGCCAGCCTCACCTGCCACAGCAGTCTCTATGCAAGAAGTGGTCCTCTCAATGGCGCAGCACCAGCCCTTGCCAAAAACCAGACCCCCTCTTGCTCAGAAGCCCCCACAGGACAGCTTCCCATGGTATGGTAATGCTCATCCAACCTGTGTTTTCAGAAACCCTCACATTCTGAACTACAGAATTACCTGTGAGCTTTTCTAAGACTCCGCCCGCATCTCCTGTATGTTTTGGAACCACTGACAGATGTGTGTTCCAAGGCTTCCTTCCGGCAGGTGGGCTCATTCTGCATTCCCCAGTGATGACTGCTGAGCGTGTTCCATCTCAGTGCGTCGCGATTCCATTACTTTTGTAAGTACGCGAAACTTCCTGAGCCAAACTGCAGATTTAAGCTGGAAGCATTCACTGCCAGTCATATACTGAGGACTGCAGAATGCCTATGGCTCATATTGGATTACGTCCTGATAAACTCTGCAGACAGTAGATACTGTAAGTCAAAAGGGCACAGGGGCCAGGGATTTAGCTCAGTGCTTCTGCCGCCTGCCTCGAAAGTGCAAGGTCCTCAGTTTGATCCCTAGCACCCTCCAAAAAATGCACAGAGCACATGTAACCTATTGAACGTCATGGCTTGGACAGGGCACATGGTGGCCTTGGTCCTTTACCCCTGCACAGCTCATGAGCAGCTGTGGCTGTGTGGCTGCTCAGCGTCACAGAAGAGCATCACTGCTGTGATGAAAACAGATCAAAGTTCAGATTCTGAGTATGGTTCCTACTGAACCACTCTGGCACATACAACAGTAGAAAGTCACAGGTTGAACCGTCATACATCAGGATTTAAAATCTGCTAAAAGGCATGAAAAACTGGAACCCAAAACGTTTTCTCACAAAGACAAACCGGAACTCTGGTGTTGTAGACAATAGCTGATAGCTCCAGTGAGCTCTTAAGCCTATCTAGAAGCTTCGTCTTTGCAGCTGAAATTCAGGAAGAACAGAATCTGGTGACTGATACAGACCCTTTCCCTCTGGATGAGAGACAGCAGGCATCTGCTCAGAAACGTGAGTCCTGGAGGCCAGCGAGACTCAAAGAAAGAATTTCTCTCTTCTCACCACTCCCACACCTGACTTTAGTCCCCAAGAGTACGCCAACCCTTCTGGGGACTAGATTCCAAATCTGCGGACCCCTCTAAAGGTAGAGCATCCATTCCTGAATCCCCAGCCCAGATGAAAGGAAACTCCTTTCCTGCCCAGCAAGTTAACTGAGAACTGGACTGAGCAGAGCTCGTGTTACAACCCAGGAAGAGAAGCACTGCAGGAAACCCTGAGCCACACATACAGGTAAGTCACTTGGCTGCGTGTGTGTGGAAGCCGGGCGAGCGCGTACCCTTACTTCTGTACGGCGCCATTTTATCTCCTGGAGGGTTGTTCCCCAGCCTGCAGTCTCCCCGGAAGCTCTGCCATGTGGAGTTCAATAACGAAGTGGGATGAGGAAGACCAAATTCTAACCCTGGGAAGTTATTAAAATGTACCTTTCAGCAGCCTGATTCCAAAGGAGACAGAGAGACGACTGACGAACAATTCTGGGCTCAGCAGCATAAATCCTGTAGAGAACTTCATTGTTGTTAGCCAGGACTTGTGAACTATGGCCTTTCACACTCAAAGACAAGACCTATCATGGCAAAAAGGAACAGAAAATGTAATGTGTGTCCACTTAGTGTCATGACTCAGTCTCCCACTCTGAACTGGACTTGATTTTTCTTGTAACTAGCCTCTTGATTCCTTCTGGTATTAACAGTTAGCTCCCTTATGAACACAAGGCCATCTGGTTTTGTACTGTGTACATTCTACTCTCTCTTCATTTATTTTAAGATTCCTTCCTTGTTTTTTAATGCCACTTATACATATGTTTCCCAAGGCCCTTCACGTGTTTCCTTCCGTAGATTATAGCTCATGTTATCTTCCCCAGTAAAAAGTCTTCAACTGACTATAGCTATAGTATAACTATTTAACTATAATCAGCTGACTTCATCGAGCGTGAGGTTTCCGATAGGATATATTAGAGAAACCTGTATTTTTTTCATTTTCCTCATATACGCATACACATTTTACTTAATAAAATATGGAAAACATTTCCAAATGCAACACTCTTAAATGGTTCATAAAGACAGAGCACTTTTCATGATAAACTATTTACAATGTATAACTTCTGTCAAAAAACTGATCAAACAAATACGTTCTGAGTGTGTCTGTTGAAGAAAAAAAACATTCCAACCACACAATTTTTTGAATGATAGATTACCTTATTTTTCAGGGCAGGAAGGTTGTTTCCAGTTACAAACCACTGCTGGCTGCTATACTCTGTAAACTGGACTAATTTACAGGCACTTTCTCCAGGCACTGTTCCTGTATCTGGAGCATCCAATAACCTTTCTGGAATTTGAATATAATCGCCTTCCTTTCCTTCAAACTTGTGCCCATTGATTTGCTGGGGATCCCAGTGAAGAGCCAATATTGACAAGTATGGGCAGCTGTCGAGGATGGTTTTGCTTCTGTACGATAAAAGCCAAGTGTCAGCTAATGTGGTCTGTACTCCCACCCACGGGCACTCGTCTGGTTAGAATGTACTGCACAGGCAGGGACCCTGTTCCTCAGTGACAATGGCGCCACCAACCCAGAGGCACCAGACCCAATGTGCTTTCAGTTCTTTTATGGTTAACTATCGCAATTCCAATATTATAATATTTTAAACTACAGAAGAATTAATGATACTGTTCAATGCAATACAAAGTCAAGACTACAGCAAAGGAACAGTTTATATAACTTATTATTTTAGCTCTTCCTCTTCTCTCTTATATTTGGAATGACTGTCTCTTTTAACTTGATGTGTCCTGTGATTTAAGAATTAATATTAAAAGTTTTATGTATCCAACCAACTTTTAGTTAACCTGTCAGAGTTCATAAAAGGCCCTGTAAATGAGATGATTTAATAAATTACCATATATGAGTTTTTAAATGTATTCTTCAAAACTTCTCTAAATTTCTGTGTGACTTAATAAAATGACAACAGTCATTGAAAATAAAATTTATAAAGTTTTTTACAAGCATTTTAACCAGATGTGTCCCACTTAATAAGTCAGATACTGGTCTCTGATTTGGGGTAGCATATATTTACTCTGTGAAAATTGAGGGCAATTTCATTTCAAACCATATTCTTTTTGCCAATGATTTCACTTTTCTTTTTCTTTCTTTCTTTTTTTTTTTGGTTCTGGGATCAAACTCAGGTCCTCACACTTGCAAGGCAGGCGGCAGAACCACTGAACTAAATCCCCAGCCCCACAATGACTTGTATGTTCTCAAGTAGAAATAAAACATTTTTAGCTTTGTGCTACAATGATCTACTTGATCTAATGAACATCATTTATGCACCATGGTGCAGGAAAAGCTTGCCTTGAAAACTCCAGCCATGAGCCACAGAGCTGAAGTTCACCCACACTGTGCAAGCTGTCTCCACGGGGATTCAACGATGGCACCCTGAGAAGCACAGCTGCGGTGCAGGGAAACACTCCTTAGGGTAGGGTCAGCCTCCTCCTGATGCAGTCCGAATCCATCCTCTACCCATTAATTAGAGAAGGCACCAGGACTGTAGGCTTGTGTTCAGAGGTCCCCTCAGAGCCTCATGTTTTTCAGAGGTGGCTGAATTTAGATTGTGTGACTGATTCGTGCCAGCGCTAGGCCTGAGGGCACTAGGATTAAGGCTACTGCCCTAAGTAGTTCGAGGAAGATAAAGGGACAGAAAGACCGTTGAGGTCTCTGGTCGCTTTTGCTGTCTTTTGCTGTCATGAACTCTGCTGGGCTGCTCTGCCGTGGAGCCAGCCGACCACGGACTGAAACCTCTGCAAACCATGAGTTGACCCAACCTTTCTCTCTTTGACTTTGGGTGTCTTAGCCACGAGAGAAAAGAAACTAAGACTATGGCTTTTGAAATTTAAGCCATTTCGAGATGAGAGGAGTATACTCTTGACAATGTTAAGTTTACTCTGGGTGTCCCCGCCGTGTTTGCTTCAAACAGTTAGCTTTGTTTGCCCGACAGGCCCGACGCACTGACCCCGTCATTTCAGTCACACCCCTCCACGGCCGCTGGCACGAACCCCATGACCGGGCAAGAAACACCGTGAGCACAGCCGGTGCAGGGGAGGCACTCACTTCTCAGCAGCAGAGCCACAGGGAACATCAGTCAGCAGAGCAAAGGCAAAGCTCTCGGCCACAGCAGTGAAGGGGCTGAACCCTCTGGTGTCCTCACGTTCCGGGTTAACAAGAGCACAAAGAATCTCATAGACGAGAGCTCGGCTTTCAACACTGAAAGCTTGATTTCTGCCTTCAACAGTTATCTGGAAAAAAGTCAAGTATAGAAATATGTATGAAAAATAAACTTCATAAATTCTACGCAGTGTGTATATCCCATGGGTTCTTTATTAAGTTAGTAATATTAACAAAATAAATATGAATCCATAATGAATTTAAGAGAAACATATCAAAAATACATTTCAAATACATTCATTTGCAATTTAAAAGGCATGATCACAAAATAGTCTTTATTTAATCATTAAAGCCCAAAATGGTTGCATGGATCACTTAATTTCAACTATAATAGTTAACATCATGAATTAAAATTGATCCCACTTTATATCTACTCCAAAGATTCTTTTTCTTTTGACCAACAGATAAGGGAATAAGTACCTCAAGAATAGTTATTTATATTGGAAGGGGTTATTCTTAATTATCTGCTTTCCTATTAACAGATTCTTCCATATATTACTAAGTTTCATAAAGAACCAAATCAGAAACCAAATCAGAAAATCTTTTTAGCCAGGAATGTGAAAAAAAAAAAATGTCCCAGAGCTCAGAGTAAGTATAAAAGACAAGCAGGATAAATCCTAGGATAAATCCCTAAGATATAAACATATAAAAAAGCAGGCTGGACAAAAGGAAAATAACACAGCCCCTTAACAAAATAAAGAAACACTCAAGTCTGAAAACGTAGAGAAAATAGGAAAAGAGACAACATCAGATATATCTTGATGATTTTTAAAATATTATTCTAGAATTTTAAAGAATCATACTAGAAATCAGATGGGAAAAATTACTAACAGAGAAACAGAAATTCAATTTGACATCACAAATTTCTGAAAATAAAGTGCCAGGAGCCAGCAGGGCAATGTAGGCAGAATTTTACGAATTACAATTCAAGAATTCTAGAATGACCTAAACTTTCATTCATGCTCAAGGGAAATACAGTTTTTTGTTTTTGTTTTTTTTTTACTAAAATACTCAAAAACAAAAATGTCTTTTTTTTTTTCTTTCTGGTACCAGGGCTAAGCATGAGGGTCTGCACCACTGAGCTAAATCCCCAGGCCCAAAAATATCATCTCTTTAACACCTGGTTGGTATGGGCACTTTGTAGTCCTCACGACTTTATACTAACTTCTCTCATCTTCATAGGAATCCTGGGAAGAAGAACTTACTGCTACTTTTGTTATTTCCAGAAAGGCACTGTAGCAGAAGGAGGATTACTAACTTGTCCCTGGCCTAGGCGAGCTCCCAACCCACCTACATCGATTCACAACCTTCCACCAACCGCTCTGACAGTCACAGCGCAGGCAACCCAGTGCACAGACAAGTCCTCCAGCATCACTGTCAGCAGGAAACGCAAAACCAGACGGTAAAATATGGAGTGAACGCGAAGTCACTGCTAGTGTTATTATAGAACATACCATACACAAAATAATCCTGACACAAAATACATACTATTAACAAGTGTGTGATAAAAATAAATAGCCTGGTTCAAAAGGCCACTAGGTATAAATAACAACAAAAGAACACCCACAGTTATCAAAGTTCAGTTAGGAACAAACAGAAGATCCGAATCAACCATGGGAAAATTTCTATAAGCAATCAGGACGGAGAACAGAAACAGAGGCCCCTGGAAGTGGTGGGATGGTGAATCAAACGTCACAGAACAGATCATTCCTCAGCTCTTTCAAGTGCTCCAGAACACAAAATTAGACCTCATGACTCATGTTTTACCAACGCTTCAATAATCAGGAAACCAAACCCAATGAAACTAAGAATCAGAATAGCAAATCCTCCAGGATTCTGAGAGACTGACATTGTTACTGGGGCAAGTGACAGCTTTAAAAGTAATTTTTCTTGCATCAGACCTGGGAAAAACAGAGGACAGGATATTATATCATATAACATTTTGCCTACAGTCACAGCTAATTTTATCCAGAAAATATCTACAGTGATTCATTAAAAGTCGTTAATTTTAGTACAATATTTTTATCACTTCTAAATAAGGAGCTTCTTTTAGTGTGTGCAATACTAAGATTTATTAACATCTTAATGAAAAGAACAGATCATCTTCCCTTTCAAAGAATTTAGAACCTGAGGGAAAATAAAACAAATATGAAACAGTTTCACTGAAAACATAGTATCTTACAGCGCAAAACTGTATCCAACACTGGGAAAGCCTAGCCAGTGCGGCCAGGAGCCAAGCTGCCCAGGGCCCTGCTGGGAAAGGAGCAGTGGTGACAAGGGTGCCAGGAGTACTCTGGGCACCGGGGCTCTGAAAGATTCACTGTCGGCATATCTCTGAGGTTAGAGTGCATATTAATTCCCTGTGGTATATTTGAATGAATACCAGATAAAACAGCTATCTCAACTGGAATTTCAGATAAGCAAATGATAACTTTTTGCGATAAATATGTCCTAAGTATTCATGATATATTTTTGCTCAAAATGTTTACTGAAAAACAAATTTTGACTCAGCACTCTTTATTGCTAAATTTCACTACCTTCTCTCTGTGTGATTATCAACATTTTCTGTGCTTGTTCTGTTAGTTTTACATAACTATATCTAAATCATGGAATAATATATGTATGACCACAGTCACGCATCACTTAATAAAGTGGACACATTCTGAGCAATGCAAGGCAGTTTCTTCCTGTTTGAATATCACAGAATGCAGTAACACAAAGCCAGTGTAGCCGCTACACACCTAGGCTGCACAGCTTAGCCTGTCGTTTCCAGGCCACAGACCTGTGTACAGCGCTACTGTACTGCACACTGCAGTTACTCTAACACATGGTGAGTATTCTGTATCTAAACATATAAACCATAGAACACACAGTAAAAATACCAGGTGACAGTAATTTTTCAGCTCCATTGTAGTCTTACGGGACCACTGCTGTGCTGTGGTCCAGTGCTGACTGAAATGCTGTTATGTGACACGTGACCGGATGTGATGGATCACACCAGAACTGATGTAAGCAGGCCCTCTTAAGGGCCATAATTTCCCGCTGTTAATATGATCAGTAATGCTGAAATAATGTTCTTGTCACACATATTTTCCCAAACGCTCCCTCAGCCATTTGCCATGCTTGAACACAACACCCATCAGGTATTTTCAATGAACAAGCCTTAAAGATTATAAATAAAGTAATGAAAGTAAAGTATTTGACAACTGTACTGAAATTAGTGTTGATTCTTGACCAATAAGAGACATTTCTTTTATATAACTTACTGACTTTTAAAAAGGCATCAGCATTTCCTTCCCTCTTCTATAAAACACGCAAAATAACATTCTCCGTTTTGCCCTAACATCAAGTTACTCTGCATACTTTCCATCTTCTTGGCTACAAGCAACTTGGCATTGTTCCACACCATTTCATCGTAGAAAATTTAAGTAACAATATTTCTTGGAGTAATTTCTTATCCCTAAACATTCTCAGCATGGGTTATCAGGCATTTCTCTTAGCTTTGCACACTCTTAAGCATGGCCTGGCCTCCTTCTCTATTTGTAATGTCCTTTATGTGACCCTCCAAACATTGTATTAAAGAAATATCATAGGAATTGAGATAGGCAAGATATTCTAAAACCCCAGTGCGAGTATTTTAAATATTTAAAGGTCACTATGTAAGAACTATCATATTAATAATTCATATGTGTGTACCCCAAACTTTTTATATTTGTATATACATGTGATTTGAAAAGCCCAAAATAAATTCCCAGAAAAATTCCCCAAATAAATCTCCAACATTATAGCCTTTCCTTAAGTAAAAGATTATTATTACTAATAACTTGTTCTTTTTCATTTACAATCTTAATAAAAAAGTTTCAAATAAAACCTGAGTCACTCAAGTCCATGCCAAAACTGAATGTCTGAAACTGCTGGTCGTTCCTTAATTTACCTTGCCTGTGAAAGTTTTCAGTGTGCAAGAGAAACAGAAAAGGAGATAACCACTCCTGGTTCGTGGCATCTGAAGTCTTCTTGTTATGGACTCAAGAAGCAGGATCAAGTGGTAGTGATAATCAGCCATTTCTGGAGAACCAGGAAGAACCTGTAGCTTCTAGCATCTTCTGCCTCTCTTCAGGCTTTGGCTGTTCCCCCTGCCAACCTACATTACTCCCTGACCCCACAGTTTTAGACTCAGGGTGTTGACTTGACTTCCATCACCTCCAGGCATAAGCAGTGTCCAATGTAAAGAGCTGCGCTCAAGCTCAGAAATGTAACTTTATCATCATTTCATAGCAACTGACATTGTAACACAGTGTGAATTTCAGTATGGACTTTTCATTTGTGACATTTTGTTAGGCTGAGTGTTTACCCACAAAGGACCTCGTACCTTTTCGATCAAATGCAGGGTGGCACTAAGCTGCTCCTCTGTGCTCTCGGTGGCCACTTTAACACTGATGCTATGCAGCACTCGCCTGAGAATATCCCCGTCCAGGGGCTGCTGCAGCTGATCTGCAAGCCCCCAGATGGCTTGCGAGGCTGCATCAGAGACAAGGGTGACATTGGCAATCCCATACGTTTCGTCGATTCTGGCACCGCCTTTAGGGTCAAAAAGCACAATCTGAAAGCGCTTAGGAAAGGGACTTGAAGACCCCAACTCTGGCATTAGGATGACATCCAACACAGTGTTTTTCTGGCCGGGCTCAAAGAGCAGCATGCCTTCAGTTCTCTCAAAATCCTTCCCAGAAACAGCTGGAGATACGAGAGTCCGACCAATGGTTTCAGCACTCCGCAACTCCTGGAAATTGAACAGTGACATTGAAGTGAAACTGTACTATCTCTGGTTTTGCCATAAATTCATTCTTATTTCTTAAACAAATCCTACCTGTTAAGAAAACGATGGGCCATAATAACAGTACCACTGAAACATGGGTTTTCATACTCTTTCTAAGGTCCTTTGATAAGTTAGAGAGCTAAAGACACATGCTACAGTGATGAGGTAGGAAAAGTAGACGCCTTAGAGGGAGAGGATGAAAGAAGAAAACCAGCACAGAAACGTCACTGCGGCCTCCGAAAATTTAGAAGTACTACTTTTTTGATCTACATTTCCATCCTTGATGGCATCCTTCTTTCTGAACTCCAATGACTTCTTCCTTTCCAGGCTCCAGAGACACAACATTAAAACATCTGTAATAGTCGCATAGGTCCTTAATGATCTGTTCACGTTTTTGGATCAATGTCCTTGGGCTATTTAGACCTGATAGTTCTCTCTTTGTGCAAGGTCACTGATTTTTCTGTCTCCTTAATTCTGCTGCTGAGCTTATCTATTCGGTTTATTTGTTATTGTATTTTTCAGCTTTAAAATTGCCATTTGCTCTTCCTTATATGTCTTCTACTTATTTGCAGGGGCTTCCTATTTCTTTGCTGAGCCTTTCTATTGTTCTCATTGGTTTAAAACATGCTTATAATTGCTCAGTGAAGCACTTTATGATTGTTGCATTAAAACTATGTCAGATACTTCTAATATTTCTGCCCTCTTATTATCGGCATCTGTTGATTTTTATTTTTCATACGATTTCAGATCTTTCTTGATCTTGGTGTGATGAATAATTGAAACCTGGACACTGTGCGTATTATTTTGTGAGACTGGACATTATTTAAGCCTTCAGTTTTAGCTGGTTTCTTTCAATACTGCTCTGGTAGGGAGGTTATTAACTTATTACTGACAGGTGGAGGTAGCAGTCTAGTTTTCCCATTAGACCTCTCTGATAATGGAGAAGAGAGAGCTCATTACTGCTGGGTGGGGGGTGGTTCCCCAAGCTAGGCTCCACCGTCACCTCCATGGTTAAAGGGTGTGTGTACCTTTCTATGCCTGCCCAGTGGTCTCTACCAATGCCACATTGAGGCTGGAGGCCTTTTTACTACTAGGCAGCAGAGAAAGCCCTAACTCTCTGCTAGGTCCCTTGGGCACAAAGCCAACACTGACACCGAGGACTCCGGCAAAGGCAGAAATCTAGGTGCCCTACTCACTTTTTGTGGGTATGGGTAGAGCTGAGGCCAGTTATCTTCTGGAACATTTGCTTTTCTATTTCTTTGACTAGAAAGAGCAAACTTTGCAAGAGGTTTTTAAAAATATTCTTTCTCATGACTGTTTGTGTATGCAAATTCCTTCTGATCAGAGTCTGGTATATAAGGCAAAAAGAAAATCCTAGATATGTTCCACTGTATTTTCCTTGGGTCCCTAGCTAAACTGCTTTCTCCTTTCAGCTTTCAAACTCTTCTGTTGTTGTTGTTGTTATTATTATATGTGTATACATAATGTCCAGGGTCTTCAGTTGTACTTGGCAGGGAAAAGCACATCTATTCCATCTTTCCAGAAACACGTCTTCTATTTATCATCAACTCTTCAGATTCCATTCTTTACTTTTCTTGTTTGTTAAAATGGCATTGCCAAAAGGACTCTAAGTCTTCAGTCGAAGGGTAGTATTGCACTAGAATTAATAGGGTGTATGGAGAGAGCGGGGGAGGGGGGGAGAGAGAGGGAAAGAGTAAGAGAGAGT